CAAGTACAACGCTCCCAGGCACAACGCCTCCACTGCGGCCAGTGGGTTCTTCTCCATCGGGACAATGCTAGGAATTAGAGATAACGCACGAGAGGCGAATTGGAGCCCTGGGATCCCCTGGGATGATCCTGTCTGCGTATAGGCTTCTCCAAAGGCAAGAGTGAACAGGAACTGCGAGTACCACATTCTGGATTTTCTCGCTTCAACAGCGGGGTTTTCGTAGAAATCCTCGATTTGTTTTCGGAACTGAGGGTGATCAATTATCTGCGCGAATGGTGCGAGATAATATTGAGCGGTAGAGATAAGAAATAGTGCATAGTCTTTAGAGGGGAGGTCCGAGATATCTGGCTGCTCGTTGAGCCCGATTGGATTCCAAGCAAGATCGATGGTTTCAAGATCCCATGGCTGAATCGGCGGGTCCGGTTCTGATATTCGAGTGCCTAGGATGGCAAGAACCCTCCTACAAAAGGCCCAAGATGAAGTCGGTCCCATATACCCTGCTAATGGTCAACTCCTGTGCTTGAGAAGAAGAAGGCGGCAGGGGAAGTATTTAAGTGAGACAGACAATATTTTCCAAATGGGTCTCGAGCAAATGTCTCTCCGTTGTCCACAAGAGGGTTGTTGCTGTATTCTTCAGGAGAGGCTTCGGCTATTGTTGAGCCACCAAGTTGGTTGTCAGTGGAGTGGGTAGGCTGGGCGAGCATACTTGCTTCAAAAGCGTCAACACCACAGGCAACCTCGACGCATTGAACAGATGAGATCACATACCGATCGCCGAGATGCTGTCATTCCGGGTTTCAGCATTGGGTAGCTCAGACTGCTGGGTTGGAGACGGCCTGGATGGCGTCGCATTTTGCGGATTCTCTGATCGTCTGGAGAGAGAAGTCCTGGTCAAAGGACGTTGGCTGCCATTCCTGGCTCGTGATTGCAACTCTTGAAGATAGCTCAATAAAGGTTTAGCCTATATGGTTGTATTGGATGAGGATAATGACTGACTACCTTTGGGATATGGATACGCGGGCTTCCTCGGGCTTGAAGACACAGGGCTGACGTTTCCTCTCGCATCGCGTGCATGGTGCCGAGCCTGAGCATCTTACCTTCATAGAATGACACCGAGTGCATCTATGTCGCCCGATTTTAGCTGATCGAGTCCGATAGAAAGGGGTAGATACGGACGAAAGTGGGATCTTACGCGCGCATGCATCGCCTGGACATCCTTCTGGTGGTTCTGATGGGTTCTGTCACGATGCTGGATGTGACTGATTGTATCTGTAGAATATCATGGGTTGAAGTACGATGAGCAGCTAGGTTCCCGGCTTCAATGGCCATAGAGCGAGGCTTCAAGAGTACATTCATTCCAAATTCGCAGGGGAAAGATAAAACTTGAACGGATACACATCATCAACGCTACTGCATGGAGTGGAAACCCCGCGTTTTAGCCTATCTTCCTCGGGTCCAGCCCAAAATCTCCATTGACATCTGAGATTGACCTCTACCATGTGTGTTCATGAGGATAACTTGAAAGCTTGGTGGAATCTCACAATACAATCACATAAAAAGGCAGATATTAGACAGTTGAGAGCGTTCCAAAAGCTACAACTGGCAATCTTGATGCAAACTCGGAACGGGCTCATCACTAAAGAACATCGGCACTGTCGGCTTGTGGGGCCGACTGAATTTTCCCTTTCCGCTCTGCCGGTTCCTGTGATCTTGCTCAAGATAACATCTTGCCCGACTGCAATTTAGTTGGACCAGGATAAGCCCGTTCTGGTACTGCCCAATTACAACACGGTTCGGTAGGCTCGACAGGATTATAAGTTAGATTATAAACTCCGTACTTTCAGAGGTAATCACAGCGTCTGTCTGTCCGCACTAGTCTTCTCAACACTAAATGACCCTTCTGCTTTCTGCAGCATTGTGCCGACCCCATAAGCCGACGGACAATGGATCAGACTGGCTTCCAAATCATCAAGCTTTGATGACGTTAATAGGTAAAAAATTCTCTTTGATATCGGTCATCTTTATCTGATGATTGCAAATGCAAGTAAACACGCTGGGCGCAGGGCGTACGGAACACCAATAAGCTGAATTCTTGTATGTCTATTCTATCGTAGCAGAAAACCAGGGTAAATCTCTTCAGCCGGGTCAATATGGAAGCTCATCTTTCCGTATAGCTGAGCAGTACCCCTAACACGCGGTATGCAGGCGGGAAACCCAGCAATAGGACTCTGGACCTCGTCTAAGATTTCTGCTTCAAATGAAGTAGCTATGATAGAACGGTGCCTCAATGTGTTTTTCTTAGGCCCGAGTCTACCTTGTGCGTGCAAAACTGCCAGACGAGCACATGTTCCAGAGCCACATGGTGATCTGTCAATTTGTCCATCCGCAAACACCGTGACGTTCCTTTGCTTGATGACGAGGTCTTGGCTGTCGGTCTTCTCTTCTCCTTCCTCGTTGAAGAAGATGACACCGTAGCAGTCATAATTGCCGTAGTGAGCGCGGGTTCCGAGTGATGCCTTTATCTCTCTGCCGAGTTTGATGAACTCGTTTACATTCTTCGGCTCGACCTTGAGGCCGACCTGATCGGCGTCCAAGGTGGCATAGACAGCTCCACCAAAGGTCAGATCTACGTTGAGTTCCTTTTGGGAAGAGGGAATAACCACTTGAAGGCCCTTGGAGATTTGATAGCTGGCAACATTAATAAAGTCGGCGTGGATCGGCTTGCCATTCACAAGCTGCATAGTGGCAGCAACGCGGCCTGAGGGTACATCTATCACAACTTCGTAGGTTCCATTCTCAGGGGCCTTGACGACGCCCTTGGCTATGGCCCAGTAACCCAGGGCAATGGTACCATGACCACATGCAGTAGAGAAGCCATCCTTGTGCCAGAATAATACGCCGAAAGCGGCTCCTGGATCATTCGGAGGCGTGATAAAACCGCCGTACATATCGGCGTGGCCTCGAGGCTCGTGACATAGCGACTGCCTGAGCTGATCCAGTGGGTGTCCAGGCGTCGCGATGATGTCGAAGCGGCGTTGGGCCACGGTTGAGGCCGGGGGGAGAAAGCCCTGTGGGAGTTTCTCTACCACGCGGAAGGGCTCACCAGCAGTGTGCCAATCGTCGGTTTCGATCCAGTAAGGAGCAGAGGCCATTGTTGAAGTTGTCTGCGTGAGATATTACTCCAAGGTAGAATCAAGTGGAGGGAGTTTTTGAAAGTGATGATTATTTGATGGCATTCTTTTACTGATAAATAACTGCGTGTCCGAGACCGAGGGGCTTACGCATATTTTATTTTCCGCAAAGTAACCTCCGATATCGTCGCTCAAGTTCAGCAAGTGATTCGGTATCCTTGGCTCAAGCGTTTCTATGGCCCTCATTCGTCCGTATTATGTACCCATTCTCTGGAGAATGACAGTGGTTATCAGGCGGCATCGGCATGTGGATCCTGTCTGAGTACATAAACATCAATACCGGCATGTGGGTACCGACGTGATCGAGAATCGCAGGCTGTAAGAAGTAGACTTGAGGGCATGATGAGACTCGGGTTGGAACAACGAGCGTAAAGACGTAAAGCGGTGTCGACCAGCAGGAGCCACATAAGACTTAAACAAGAAACGTTCATAATATAGCACTATGTACAATTATATTGTTTACAATCAGATCAGACATTGCTCATCGTGGACGCAGCTCACGAAATATTTCTCTGAATGCTACGATACCGATTAAACGGCATTATGGCTTGATCAACCACACTCAAGCTGTATTATCAACTATCTAGAGTTATATACGCTATATACCCTCAACTCTAGAAGTCAACTGAAGAACTATTTTCTCTACAATACTCCTCAAGCTCTGCTTGCTCATCATATCGAACACCGTCATATTAACACCAAGCTCATTCTGGAACCAGCTTCGCAGCTGTTCACCACAGCTCTATCCTCCCATGTCGTCATAGGCGCTGTGGCGACACTTACACTGGTATTGAGGTTCACCGCTCGAAGGAGAGGCGGAAGCCTCTACGGTTGGGATTATTGGCTCCGTCTCGTCGCCGGGCTTTGCATGTGGCGTGACTTCGTTATGACCATGCTCGGTGAGCCCATGCCTTTTGTCGACTGATGCAGATCGGGGAAGCCTAATGTTTACATTAAGGCTTAGAATACCGTCCGTACCTTCGAGAAATCGATATGGAGGAACTAACCATCCCAAACGAAAGTCTGCTCAAGCAGGTAATAAGCCAAGTTTCTCACAGAACTTGAAATAACCAGAGAACTAATCGAGAACAGCTGTAATTTGGATCCATTTTCTTCACCTCAGCTTTTGAAGTCATCGCAAGACTGTCCCCCATCTTCCTGTACTATCGCATTTTCAACATTGAGAAGTGGTTCGGATGGACGCTTAAAATCATTGGCGGCGTGTCTATTGTATGGCTCGTCGTGCCAATCGCAGTTGTTATCTTCCAATGCAAGCCAATTGCCGCTGTCGTCGACGCGTCGATTGAAGGGGAGTCTATGGATAATCAGTTGGAGTTCATCTTCGCAGAGGCCGTCAATCTTCTCTTGGACTTGGGTTTGGTTCCCTTGCATGTGAGAACCATCTGGAAGCTGCAATTTCCATTTGCTGAGAGGCTTGGCGTCGCTGCCATCTTCCTGGCTGGTACAGCGTGCGTTCAAACACAAATGCATCCATATTGTATCATTCGGATAGAAAAGCCCTGTCGATGTTGGGCGTGGTGCCAGTTCCTGTCCAAACAACACACACCTCAGTCTCTTAAGTCATCAAGGAATCAGCGTCCTACCCATCTGGGATTTTGTGTTTCCCTCCACTAGCAACGCGTTGGATAAGCCATGATGCTTGATTAATAAGTGGGTGTTGTTGAGGTTTCGGCGATTTCTCGATTCGATTAACCCCTGCGGAGACGGAGACAGTCAGACCGAGGAAAAAATTCTAGATTCAATCGAAGCTCTTCCAACCAGCCTCATTCCAATCGGCAGGCGGCAAGAATGTGGTCGCTGCCTGTTTCCCTGTTGTTGGCTACTATCTCTGTGCTAGGCTTCTCTGCTACGACTCAAGCAGCGGTACAAGACGAGGAGCAAGTTGTCCTCAACGCCCCTCACCGACAACCCATCAGCCCAGGTCCCCGTTTCACCTGTCGTCAGCAGTCGCCGGAGTTATGTGACGCGGGTTCTCAACACTGGACCGGTACGGTCAATATTAGTTCGGAAAAGTCTATGTTTTTCTGTGCGTTTTGTTCCGGTCCTTTCGTGATGCAGCACGCGTTATGTGCCGCAATTCCGGTCTCGCTAACGTATGTCGTAGGGTATTATGAAAGCCGAGACAGCCCTGAAACAGACCCAGTGTTGCTTTGGATGAGCGGGTGAGTAATAGGACTATTGATGAGAGAGAAAAGGAAAAGTTCATCTCTAACCTTGGAATATCACTAATCAGAGGTCCCGGTGCCACGAGTGAACTAGGCCAGTTCAAAGGCATTGGTCCCTGTGCAGTGAACGAAGACGGAAACTCAACCCGGCGCCTTGAATTCTCATGGATTGACCACGCCAACGTCGTGTTTATAGAGTAAGTAACCCCAAGGTCCCGGCATATCTTCTTGGTTCTCACTGGTAGGATCAATTCTCCAGCCAACCTGTCGGTGTGGGCTTCTCCCAGATTTCAGACCGCAATCAAATCGCGACAAACCTACATGACGGGGCAAGAGATGTATACACGTTCCTTTCCACTTTCACCAAGGAAGTCTTCCCGGAACTGGCCAACCGTACTTGGCACATCACAGGAGAGTCCATGGGTGGCCATTATGTCACATCCTACACAGAGTATATCCTGAAACAGGAAGCCGAGCGAGCCCTCCAGGGTCTTGACATTGGCATTCATATTGATTCCGCTATTATAGTCGATGGCTATATTGACGGTGCGTATCAATACACAGGGTACTATGACTTCTTCTGTGAGGATTGGAGAGCCGACGGACGACTCTATCCCTTAATGAACGCGACCGCTTGTCAAGAAATGGGCGAGGCTGTGGCAGCTTGCGAGGAGAAAGGTGCCATGTGTAGAGACTCTTATGATGTCGATGTTTGTGCTTGGGCTATGCAGTCCTGTGGTCAAACAGTTGGTAAACACTTTACTGATGGCGTTAAACCAGGAGGGTGGAACCCGTATGACAGTAAGTATCTTGCAATTTGTTCTCCCAGTCTTGTAGTCCAATATATCTATCCTAGTATGAACGCGTCTTGTCTTCTCATCAAAATAACTAATGGCGGTCCAGGTCGATTTAAGTGTCAAGAGCCCCCTCTGTGCTCAAATTTCAGCACAGACGAGACCATTGTATTCCTCAATCAGCCATGGGTACAAGAGCAGTTAGGATTCCCCAACTACACGTTCCAATTGATCGATTTCGATACCAACAGGCGATGGGATGCGGCAGGCAATCTTAACCTACCTGTCACCCGAGAGCTAACATGGCTGTTGGATAATTCCGATGTCCGTGTACTATTCTTCAATGGCAATAATGATATAATAATGTAAGGGCAATGATAATCCCTCCAGACTACCGGTGTTTCAGCTAACCATTTTCTACGTGTAAAGTAATACTCCCGGGCAGATGCGTCTGCTTGACGCACAGCCTTGGAAGGGACAGGCACATTTCAGAAGCCTGAGATACCAAGATTGGTTTTATACAAATGGAAAGCTTGACCAAGGAGGTGGAGGGAAGAAAGGGGGAACTTGGAAGGGAGGTGAGAGGTTAAAAATCTACACTGTGGACGAAGCGGGCCATTTCTCTGCGATGAACCAATCTGAGGCTCTTGGGGTCGTGGTCGCAGACTGGCTTCGGAAGTAAACGTTGTGTAAGTCATTGCCTACGTATATCAAACTAGGGGGGTTAACTAAGTACTCAAGATCGTTATCTTAAAACCACGTTACTATCTTCAAATCGAGGAAATATGCAAGTTTTAATCTTCTCATCACCCAAATTGGTTCTTGTTGGTAATTACTGAAGAAAAGAAAACCGATTAACGCTCTTTATTGTACATTCGCAACAGGGGCAGGGAATGTTCAGCATTTCTACAATTCAACAACCAACGGCTCCTCTCCTCTGCGCTCCCTCCACCGATTTGTGGATTCTACTATATGCTGACAACCTTTAAATAAAATTTTCCACTTGTTGAAAAAAGCTGGTGTGACTTCATAACCTTCCATACGCCAAGGGTCGCTCCACACGAGGATTCCCAGCTCCCTTTGCTCACTCAGCGAACATCCAGGGCCGACATTCCAATTTGCAGCCATTGAGAATGGAATCTCGGGCTTTGGTATTGAACCAAAGGGGCTTGGGCGCGTTTTTTGTGTTTCCTTGCATATGTAGCCCACCAGATCACCCTGAAACTCCACAGTGTCAAGGGTGCCTTGGGCCAGCGCAAGCAGCACATTGTCGCGGAGTCGAGGATCGGGAATCAAGTCAACCCAGAAATCGTGGGGAACTAGAAGCTGAAATTTTGTAGGTTTCAAAGACTCCGGAGTTTCCCAGGAAGTGGGCGATGGAGCAAACAAAGGCATGTTCTCAAAATCGATTCCACAATGATCAGTCTCAATCAGATGATGAACGGATAAGATCATTGCATTCGTAGTGCTAGCTCGAACCAAGTTGTATTGGGCTAGGCTGAGGAGATGATCCGATGAGAGCGGGAATTCGACCCTTGCAGAGAAGTCTAAGCGGGAAAATCGATTCCATTCCGTACTCCTTGCGTATGTTTCTATATTCATGCGTGGCCGAAGTGGGGCCTGAGATTCGTTTGATATAACAAGGGGAGAGGGTGCTCTGAATGGTGGTAGTAATGAGAAGGCATCGCTAGGGTATGAATGGATGTCTTGTAAATCTGTGTGGTTGTCTTGCTTCGCTTTTCGTCTACCTATTTTGGGTGTCAGCGTTTGCCATTCAGCGAGTGGAAAGGCAAGTTGCATACGGTGAGCTCGGACATTCAATCTGTTCTGCAGCTTTCTTCGAGCTTTGGGATCCTTCAATCCGGTCCAGTCCTCTTCAGGACGCGAGAATTGCTACCGACAAAAAAGGACGACTTAGCACGGGATTGCCAGGTGCGTGAACAGGGTCTACCTACGTCATTCCACCGGGCCATGACCTCGCCGGAACCAAATTAGGCGTGAGGATTAAGCAATGTGGGGTTCAAGATGCTGACTTTGTGTATCAGAGATGGGCTGGAGCCCAAAGAGAGAGGATGAAGGAGGCGTTATGCGCAGTTGAGAAGATGAAGAGTCGAAACTTGAAGATGCAATCTGCTTACAGGGCGGAGTCTAAGAGGGCAAACAGATCCATTTTAATAGATCCAGGATCGGCTCGGCGCTAATGCAGGGTGCTTACAGCGCTAAACCTCTTTCGACAGCCTAAATTGCGGATCAACCGAGGATTGAGCTCCAGTGCTGCAGCTTACCCTAGAGATAGTTGCAATTCGATGATAGCTTCTCTTCATTATCTGCCTATGCCCTTGCAATTCACTCTTAAAGGAAGAGGGATCATGTGAGATTTAAGAATAGTAGTCTAAGCCCTGTCCCATCTGGCGGTCTTTTGTGACAAAAGAGCTCTCGTCTCCACCCACATTGTTTGTTAAACTTCATCTCGAGTGTATTTTCAAAGCTCAGAGCATACTCCAGATCCCTGTGTAGGATCTCTACGGCAGGGTTTCTTCTCCGACGTAAGCCTAGTACTTTCATTGATACTTGAGGAAGACATTTTGTCATACACCTATGACAAGTCCTTGGGACGGGACGGGATAATTTAATCGCCTTCGTTGCTTGGGAGAAGTGATGAATCTGCCCCACTTTCACCTTTTCACCCAATCGAATAAATGCTAATGCAAGAAGCTTACAACGCTAAACCCATTTGATCTCAACACCAGCCAGCCTCGAGCATCAATTCCACCCTGAAATGACGAAGTCCGCACATGAATGATAGACCATGAATCGGATTTTGGCATTATGAACCCCTTTCAGATCCGAGTGGTATGATAAGTCCTACCAAAACCCGCATCTATGTAGAATATAAAAAGATGGTGACACGCCGAGGCATGCCACGGCTTTCCCACCATCTCAAGGCTTCCAAGTCTCTATCACATTCACTGAAAGAATACCGGGTACTCCCTTCTCATCCTAAAGAACTCCTCGTTGCTTCTATGGCTCCTACATACCAGGTCAGTGCGAAGCAATTTCTGCAATCGCAGCTATGTACAACGCTCCCTGTCCCTACAAAGTCTTTCGAGGGCCAGACAGTCATCATCACAGGTTCCAACACAGGCCTGGGCTTTGAAGCAGCGAAGCATATTGTTCGACTCAAGGCAGACAAGGTCATCCTAGCTGTACGCAGCGTATCAAAAGGAGAGACTGCCGCAAAGGCATTACAGTCTGGTTCGGCAGGCTCGGAAAAGTCCCCCACCAAGGTAGAGGTCTGGCAGCTTGACCTCTCCAGTTACGACTCCATTCAGGATTTCGCTTCTAGAGTCGAAAGGGAGCTGGAGAGACTCGACGTGGTGATCGAGAATGCAGGGCTACTGACGGAAAACTTCACGATGGCAGGGGAGGACGAGTCCACCATCAGGGTCAATGTCCTCGGCACCATGTTCTTGGCTCTTCTACTTCTACCCAAGCTTAGGGCCACGGCTACTAAGTGGGAAAAAGATGCCGTCCTCACCTTTACGGGTTCTTTCATGCACTGGTCTGCCAAGTTTGAAGAGCGAAAGGCGGACGACATCTTTCAGGAACTCGCTGATGAGAGTAAGGCGACCATGTATGATTCTGAAAGGTAGCTCCTCCAAGGCTCGCCCACAGTAATCGTTCTTCTCACTCACGGTATCTAGATACTCAACCTCAAAGCTCATGGAGCTTCTTGCATTCCGCGAATTGGCAGCCCACCTAACACAACCAGAAAAAGGCCACATCATTACCTCGCTCCTGAACCCCGGAGGCGTTAAAACTGATATCATGAGGGATGAAAACATGCGACTTGCCCAATGGCTGACGGTTAAAATTGGTCGAGCGTTCTTTCTACGTTCGACCGAGGAGGGAAGCAGAACGCTTGTCCATGCGGCTCAAGGGGGCCGGGACACGGATCGGCAATATCTTGACGACTGCAAGCCTGCGCCGCCTCATTTGTAAGTGATACTCAAACACCTCTCAAACAATTCACTGAAACTCAATATGCTGATTTGTTTATTCTCAGCCTTTCGCCCTTTGTGCGTTCAGATGAAGGACAAGCGACCCAGAAGAAGGTTTGGCAGCAAATGCTTGCCAGGTTTGAAAATATCAAGCCGGGCATTACAATGAACCTGTAGAGGCATATATATCGAAACCTACAAGTTGAGAATTAGGAGAGGGCTGATTGGAATCAAAGGGAGTCTTGCACCGCAACTCAGCTTAAATTTCCATTTGTGATATTCTCTTAGTGATAGATTAGGTAGATATGTTTGTTAAATGTGTATCATAACAATCAAACGATTGAAATTAAGGTTCTAGTGAGCTTAGATGCAGCGTCAATGATCAGATTTCTTATGCTTGCCGATTCTCTAGCTTCTGGCTTCATCGTTGAACTAACCGCGTGGCTGTGGGCTGGAACTATTGACTTACCGTGAGGGATCAAGAATTTCTCTTTCGGTTCATCGGTCTAGAAAACCCGTGCCCCAGGCAGAAAAGACTAGCTTACCATTCTTCCTCTGGTTGATTCGTCTTTCAAAATACCAAGTACGAATGGACTATGCAATATATATATACGCTCTTCCTAGTTGTTGTTTGGACCCGCTGGAGCGTGTAGAACTCATTCCCCGCTAAATACTTAGCTAAGCGCTCGCTGAGGTTTTTCCTCCAGCGAGGTCAAACTCAAAAGACACATCTTGGAGATTGGACATTTTCCAACGGGCATGATCTGCCTGTGAGCGTGGCCATGCCTCGTAAGGTGAGCAAATCCAGGCCAGAGATTGCAACATTTCTGTGCTGGCCTCGTCAATGTGACCAAATGATGAAAAGCAAGCTCACTGACATTCTTGCCGTTTCACCAACCTGCAGCAAAAAACAGCCGCAACCGTCCTCCAGGATCGCGAAAATCAACGCCGGTCTCGCGCGCGCCGCCGCGATTACGTCCAATACCTGGAGGCGCGCGTCCGAGAATATGAGAAGGCGGATGCGCAGGCGACGATTGAAATGCAGCAGGCTGCTCGCGCCGTCCAAGCCGAGAACCGATCACTGCGCGACATTCTCGCCACTTACGGGCTTTCACCTGCTGCCATCCAGATGAAAATCGACCAAGACGCAAAACGCCCAGAGCCTTCTTCCTCTACCTCTGATTTGCAAGTGCACCCAGAACCCACCACACCATTGGAGAAACCGTGCGAGGAGGCCGCCGCCATCCTTGCTCAGCTAGGGACTGGATCCGACTCTACCTCGATTCGCAACCTGCTCGGCTGTGTTGGAGAGGGGAAGTGCTTTGTTAGGAATACGGAACTGATGCAGATAATGGAACAGGAAACACAACGGTGAAGAATCTGATCTTGTCGAGGTCATTCCAGGCATGGCGGCTGTTTGAGCATTACAGCAGTTGATCAGGTCACTTAGTAATTCAAACGCACTTTGCAACATTAATTTAAATGACAATTCATTCCTCAAGTTATTCTGAGTTCTTATCTAGGGGATAACTACCTATACTGAATTCTACTCGTCAAAACCTCAGAGACGTAGTCGAGCTTGCCACGTGTGGCTAAAACTTAGGGACATCGCGTGTGAGCCCTTGACTTGTATCGGAATCCCCAAGGCTTGATCTTTATTATCAAGGTGAAATTCCTATTT